CTAGAAGCAAGACTTATTTCCTATTTGTAATGTGCATATGTGTGCATGCATTTGCCTATTTATATCACAATGTTATAGTAATTTTATTTATCCCATCAAGACCATTGGTTTCTGTATATGTGTTTGCAGGATTTTCCAGAGCTTGCAAAATGCAGTTGCTCTTGGAGCACTGGAATCACTTTATTCTTAGTAAGTTATCTGAGTGCCGACTAAAAGTTGATATGCAATTTATAATGAACTGGCATATTTGGCAGTTAGAAGCTTCAAAATATTCAATGAAATATAGTTAAACTTCCCTTAAAGTAGGATTATACTGTACAATGTACAGACTGCTTTTTTGAGTTCACAATTTGCAGTGGTGGAACTTTCTGATCTAAATACAACCAGGTATGACCTTGCTTATCTTTTTCGTTATCTGTCAGAGTTGACTAGATAGTGGTATCTGCTGTGCCCCAGAAAGTTATTGCTGAATATAAAATTAGTGGCTTCCCAGTAACTATGGACATTTCTCAGTGTGTGCTTTCCCTTTTTTGTAAACTAAAAGCCAAATTATTCCTCTTGAAAGGGGAACCACACAATATATTAGGCACATACTTTATGGATTAGCAAACATGATCCAAAATAATATATGAATGATTGCACCATCAATAATCCCAAGAAAGAACTATCCAAAGATGAAATTTCTAGTACTATTAAAGTCCTTATGGAAGGATCAGATATTTCCATAGTAAGTCGTCCTTCCCTTTTGATCTCACTATGATTTTGTTTTCTTTCAAGATGAAGAATACCACCAGAGGGCAAGTGCTGACAGCATCTTTGCTTTTTCTTTGTTTCCCAATTTCCCCTTGTTCCTATTTCTTCCCACTTTTTCTAAATTTTCAGTGCACCATAGCACTCCCTTTTGCCTAAAACCAGTCTCTTTTAATGACTCTTGCTTTATCTTTTTCCAGCTAAACCTATGCAATCATTGCTCACAAGCCCCAGCTGAGCTGTATTTGGCTACAGGCTTAGCTCTATTTGCTAGTGGTGATCTATATTATTAACCTCCATTTTCAGTTTGTATGAGCTAATTGAATTCATTTTAGAACTTGATTGCAAGAATTGTAAGAAATAATCAAAACGCTTTAACTTCTTGTACTTCTCTCTCTATGAATAAATTACTTCTCTGTTTAAAGAAACTACTGCATCTGTATTTACTGGGTAAATTCAGATGCACTGTTGTCAAGATCAAATTCCTCAAGACGTGTGTATCAGATGTGGCAACATGATACTATTTAAATGAAGCCTAACAGAAAACAAAAACAGAGGCGAATAATAGCACCAATAAAAATCAACGTAAAGTTCTTAATCACCTTGAGAATAAAATCAGAGACTGATAATAATGTTAAAAAAATATTAACAGATTGTTTAAAAAGCATGGCAGACAAAAATATTCTTTTTTAAATGTAGATCACTTGAAATTTTCTTTAAAGCCCTATAGGTAGTCCTCAGGTTACGACGGCAATTGGGACCAGGATTGCCATTGCTAAGCAATGTGGTCATAAAGCGTGACATCATGCAATCACATTGCTTAGCTACAACAATCTCAGCAAGTCCTGGTTGCCATTGTAACCCCAAGATGCATGGGTTGTTAAGTGGGAAGTGGCAGGAGCCCCAGAAAAGGAGTGCAGGGGGTGTGGGAGGTGCCACAGGGGGGTGGGGGAGTCCAAGGGGCCCTGGGAGGGCCAGCGCAGACTGATGTGAATTGGGAGAGGCTGGGGGAGGCTTGGGAGCCCTGGCATAGGCTACATGTGAGCGCAGGAAGGTCACAGGGTGGCTGGTATGGTGTGAGTGTAGGAAGGCCAGGGGTTGGATGGTGTGGTGCAATGTGAGTGACGGTCACATGCAGCCCACAGGCTACAACCTGTGCATCTACATCTTATGTTAAGAGACAACATTGTGAAGGCTTTCAGAAGAAATGTTCTGATGTCGCATAGAAGAAGCCTAACAGATGGGTATATTGGGCAGCGGTCCTACATGACATCAGGAGCAAGGGCTATGCTGGGTCTCTGCTACCAATCTGAGGCATAGAAGCTCCTTTGCACAAAATGGAATGTTAAATACTGTTAGACTTAAGAAAACAACCCTGTGCCTCATTAGCATTTAAGAAAATCAAGTTGATCTTATAAAGTACAGCCATGTCCATTAAGTTTACCCCATTACTAATAGCTCCTCCTCACCAAATACTTTCACTTGAGTGGCAACTTCCTGAATTCTTCCAGGGAGATTGGCAATTGAACAGACAAACGTCTTGCCATCATCAATAACTGTCACTGGTGAAATCAATAATGCATCTTTTGAACTCATTTGGATTCTGTCCTTGTACACAGAGAGATAGTCTTTATAGTCTTGAAGGTAATAGGGCTGATTCCTGATTAGGATCCCTTCACTTCCATTTTCTTTCTGCTAGAAATGAGAGATATTTCAGTGATCTATTCCCATGTAAAAGCATGAATCATCGTCATTTCTTTCTTTTTAATGTAATAGAAGATGCTGATATAATAGGAATTGTACAACTGGAATGGGTGAATCACTTATTCCTCCTCCCTCTTGTAAGAAGAGCTGGCTATTAGGTAGCCTCTCTCTCTTCTCCACCACCGACATTTCGCCTTCTGTCTTAAGAAGAGTCCCTTTCTGTTATAAACTTCAGTTAAGGACCATTTCTCTTTTGTTACCTTATCCTGATAGAGATCAAGCCTGGGACTGCAGAATGAAAAAAAGGAAATTGTGTGTTTTTTTTTATTTCTTCCTCTCAGCAGCAATTACCCAGAATGTTTATTTTCTAAGGAAATAAGATAGCAAGCATCTTTAACAAAAGTACTAAATAGTCTGGGAATGCCATCTCTGACTGAAGGAGTGCAGGAAGTTTTTTTTTTTTTTCTGGAGAACTTTAAGTTACATGCATTTATGTGTGTCTCAGTGTGAGTCTCTCTGTGGGCATGCCCACAAACACACAGACCACACAAACATACAATAGGCAGTGATGATTTAACAGTTTCCAAAATCTCAAGCTTCAGAAGCTGTACAGGCCAAAGTGATGACTGATAATAGTACTTGGCCCCAATTAGAAATTTCCCAGACGTATTTTGTACCACTGAAGTTCCAAAACTTCAAAGGACAAATCAGACCAAATTACAGAATGATTTGATTCAGCAGTTTCATGTAATTGTTAAAACTGTATGGGGATAAAGTGGACATTTTCAGAACTCCAGTGCAAGGATAAAATATTCTAGTATCATCACCTAAAAATGCTTACCAAGGAAGACAGGAATCATAGCATTGCCAGCTCATGTACAAGGGTATCAGTGGCGGGTGGGGGAATGGTATGTGTCAACACCATCAAAATAGTAGGTATGACCAGAGTGATTTAAGCTCCAACCTTTTTTATGTAGATGCAATGCATGTGTGATGCACATTAAAAAGAGGGTGAGCCTTTAATTGCCTAGACAGACCTGTCATTTTGAAGCTGTTGACTCCCTTTTGGATGTCCAAGTCATGGCAGTGATATGATTGTATGCTAGAAAGAGTGGAGCTGGATTTTTGACCCCTTTAAATAATTGAGAAGGTTTAAAAAAACAACAACTAAAAGCCAGCTGGCTTCATTGAGGAAGTTTATATGAATTTGTATATCTCAAAATAATAATAATAAAAAATCTATCGAAACAGCTGTATCCATGTAGCACTAACATGCATGCTAGATAATTTATAGAAAGTATTTGTAGTAAACCTACTGAGTACTATCAAGACAAAGAACTGCAGTTTAGAATTGCATTTGTTTGAATATGAGATGCTTGGGTTCATAGCATACCCCTCCTGGACATGGATAATTTAGAAGCCACATGAGATCTCAAGATCCTCAAGACTACATCTCTCCAAAATCACACCCCTGAAACTTTGGAGCAAACCAGGTTTTAATGATACTTTTCCAGCCATTTTTAAAAGCAAAATAACAAATAAAATATATTCTGACAGGTTCAATGAAGCCACTTTGAATTTAGGGCTTTTCTCCCTTTATTTTATCTGAGAAAGTGTTACTTACCAGTAACCATGTTACAGAAGCATTCGCCAGGTTTATATGATGAGACGTACTGTTCAAGCATGGAATTTCCAGGGTCTGGTTTAGTAATGCTTGTAACACAGAATTCTTGTCATCTTTTATCACGCAGAAAAATGTAAAATAACAAAAAGAAGAATATTAAGTAGAAAACTCCAATGTACAATGCATGTAAAATTAGATTTTCCCTACTATGTTGGCTTAAAACGTGTTCATGGGTTCTACAAGTACTATTGCTTAATACATTCATCCTCATTGTGAAGATAGTGAGAATATTTCTCCAAAATAGGAATAGACTTTTTTGTGAGATGGAAAACAGTTCAGGGACAGTTAAATATAAGGACAGGTCAGTGGTTTCTTGAGATTTCAAGATCTGAAATTTTTGCCATAGAACAAACAACTTAAGTTTTGCAGCTCCTTCATCTGCTACAATAGATAACATTAGATCTGAGGATGTAACCAAAACTTATTCTAGGCTTTTATAAAATACATTTGTGCCACACAAAGGAGTGGGGGAATGAAAACAGGAGGACTTGCTCTTTAATTAAAGAATTAGAATTTATGAAACAACATTAGAGCACAATGGCACCATTCAGACATTATACATAACTCTAGCTTAGTCTAGTTAGTGCTACAGGGATGAACTTGGGCAGCATCAAAAATCCCCTTTCTTCCTCTGATGTGGTTGTAAAATGTGGAGTCCTTGGGGTTCTCTGAGCTTGGTTCTTTTCTTTCAAACGTCTCATCACCTAGCTAGGTAACATCTTCAGTGCTAAAATGGGATGGGGTTTGCTCTCTATTTATTTGCTGTGGCCTGCCTTGCCAGTGCTGGTAAGGGTGGGGGTTTTGTTTGGGTCCTCTGGTGGTTCTTTGATTGGCATATGTTTGCTGCTGGATTGTGTGCCTGGTGGTAACCTTTGCTTATCCATATTTGGATTTAGCTTGGTCTAAAATGCTACCTACCTACTACAACACAACTTACACAACCTACTACAACACAACCTATACAAGCTATGAAAAGGATCACACTGCCATACATCAGAA